AAGGCACGTGGTTTGGGAGCCTCTGCTCTCCAGCACTTGTGGTTAAGATGTGAGCAGGCATTGGGGGGGCACTGTGCGAGCTCCCCGTGTTAGAGGAGGACGCGGGCGCCTCGAGAGCAGTCGTTGCCAACGCCTAAGACCAGAGAGTAGCAGAACGAGGACAGGGCCCAGGTCTTCCGACCCCTAATTTAGTGCTCTTCCAGTTAAAACCCAGTGACTGTTCTTGAAAAGATTGATCTCTGCAGTACTTTTTTCATTGAGGAAATACCTTCCCCTGATGTCAAAATAATTCTTGTTCATCCTAATGGTAAAGTCCCTTTATTCCCTACTTCTTTCCTCCACCCCCGGATAAAGCCACTTTTTTCCCCCCCAAAGATAAAGTCACTTTTAACAGTTTGGTGCATAGATTACTGAATTTGAATGCTGCTGCTTGCTCTAGGGCAAAGGTGCTATGAAAATGTTGCTGGACACCTTAAACCTGGGGGCAGGTTTAACTGCGGTGTCTACAGCTGCTGAACCAAACATCAGAAGGTGTAGGAGATTAAGGATCTTTTATCCTGGGTGCCTGGGTGGCTCAGTCATTAAAGTGTCTGCCTTCAGCTCAGGTCATGATCCCGGGGTCCTGGGATCGAGCCCCACATCGGGCTCCCTGCTCAGCGGGGAGCCTGCTCTCCTTCTCCCACTCCCCCTGCTTGTGTTCCTTCTCTCGCTGTCTTTCTCTGTCACATAAATAAAATCTTAAAAAAAAGGATCTTCTTTCCCCATTTACAACTTTAACAGTATGAGAAAATCTTACAATAAAATAATATTTGAATCACTTTTAGGGACCTGTAAACGAGGCAGCATCATGAACTGTAAAGAGCTCCATCTCTAGACAGGTTCAGGTGTGGACTGCATAAACTCAAGCAAGTTACTTGGCTTCTCTCTGCCTCAGTTTCCTCATCCATAAAATGGGGATAATTATGGTACCTACCTCATCAGTACTATGTACCTGGCACGTGGTGAACAGTTAATAAATTGTAGCTGGTTATTAAGTAGTATTGCAATCAGCCCTCCTAAATTGGAAGACAAGATTAAGGTGCTTGCATGTTTCCTATAGGTGTTACTTGTTTGGGGCAGGTCAGCATCATGCACAATAGTTTCATACTTCGGGTGCATGTGCCCTGGGTATGCTTCATAGAACAGTGAGGCTATACTCTAGCAGAATGCCAGGGGATGAAGGTCATGCAAGGGGAAGAGCAATGGTCTGAGAGGCAGGAATCTGAGTCCTTGTCCTGGCTCTATCACTGACTCTTGACAACCTTGATCAGTTAGCTCCCCACCTGGGAGATTCCCTTTCCTTATAGTGACATGGGGAAATAGGACCAGATCATTGCTTCCCAATCTCAGCTCCATCCTTGAGCCCTTTTGCTAACTTTTTCTTCTATGGATCCTTTTTAAAATTTAGATTTTATTTATTTGAGAGAGAGGGACAGCACAAGTTGGGGGGCGATGGGGAGGGACAGAGGGAGAGGGATAAGCAGACTCCCCGCTGAGCAGGGGCTCAATCCCAGGACCCTGGGATCATGACCCGAGCCAAAGGCAGACGCTCAACTGACTGAGCCACCCAGGCGCCCCTGGATCCTATATTTTTTTTTTTAAGATTTTATTTATTTATTTGAGAGAGAGAGAATGAGAGAGAGCATGAGAGGGAAGAGGGTCAGAGGGAGAAGCAGACTCCCTGCCGAGCAGGGAGCCGGATGCGGGACTCGATCCCGGGACTCCAGGATCATGACCTGAGCTGAAAGCAGTTGCTTAACCGACTGAGCCACCCAGGCGCCCTGGATCCTATATTTTAAAAGTTTTTGATTAAATAGAAATTCACTCCTTTTTAAAAATTCTTTTGAAAGATTTTATTTATTTGCCAGAGAGAGAGAGAGAAATTCACTCATTTTAAAATGCTGACCAGATTGAGGGGAAAAAAGATAATTAACCACCTCAAAAGACATAATTTCAGCCAAAAAGGGAAAAAATTATTCTTGTCTTAGGGTAAATTTGTAATTTTTTAAAGATTTTATTTATTAGAGAGCACAGAGGGAGGGGGAAGCGCCCTCTCTGCTGAGCAGAGCCCAATGCGGGGCTCAATCCCAGGACCTTAAGATCATGACCTGAGCTGAAGGCAGACACTTAACCAACTTAGCCACCCAGATGCCCCTAAATTTGCAATTTTTGAGAGTTTAAAAAGATACACATAAGGACAAGGCCATTCTTAGTATATGCACAGAGCCCTAGGCTTCAAAACGTCTGGATTTAATGATACCTGACTCTTTCCAGCTCTGAAATTCTGTCTTGGAACATAATTTTACTGTTTTCAGTGATTACAGAGCTTCATTTTACAACATAGCATTGGCCTTACCCATGATTTTGTTTGACGCCAACTTGTTGGGAGAATTGCAACCTCTCATTATCACCTTGTGCTTAGAGGAAATGTGATCCGCTTTCAGTGTGCAGGCATGTGTTTGGGGTGAGAAGCAAGAAGGACGTGTTCAGTTGCATGGCACCCACTGGGTTCAGAGGGTTCCAAGAAGAACAGGTGCTAGAGGCTGGGGTGCTTGTAGTGAACCCTGAAGCCTGGGTTGCCACCCAGGCATCCCTCTCCTTGGTTTCTATTATCCTGAACAGTCTCTCCAACCCACCCCATTTATTTCCATGTCATGAATTTGCCAGAGAGACTGGGGCCATTTGTTCTGCTAAATGTCCATCATTCCTTGTGGTGGTGGCTAACTTACTCCTTTATCGTCTGTATTTCCTATAAACGAGTAATTAAATCTAGAGGCTCATTTAATTCAGTTTCACTATTTTAGGAAGAGCCCTTCACAGGCAGCATTGTGTATTTCCTGTTTCATATGTAATAGTGGTGTTTATTGGGTGCTTTCTATGTGGCAGGCATTGTGATACTTTACAAACATAATGCTTTGAAGGGGTAGCTTAGTATTTACTTCATAATGATAAACTTAACTCTTAATCCAACTAGAATAGAGGGAGACAGGGATATATGGACTCCAAAGAATTGCAGCAAGTGAGAACCCAAAGATCACAAACTCAGAGCTGAGGGTGCTTCTGCAGGGACAAAAGGAATGGTGTAGATCAGATAAAACACAAAACCAAATTTATCAGAATGGCCTAGAGTCTTGCTGGTCTTGTCATTCCTGGACACAAAACACCGTGGCTTTCCAATATCCATGCTGTCTCTCTCCTCGCCAAAGAGCCCATGCTTGCCATCCAACCTATCCATCTTAACCACGCAGATTACAAACTGGGAGCCATTTCAGTGGGGTCCAGCATTTGCCATGGACAAGATGTCGGGACCCAGAGTCTTCAAAATGAAGTTCTCATCAGCAAAGTTCTCCCTGCTAATTGGATTTGCCACTGGTGCCATGATGTGTGAATTCATCACCCCAACACATAAATGCAGGCATAAGTCTGGGAAAGCAGGAACCAAATCTAAGCAGAAAGCTTCAGGTATCTTCCCAGGGCCTAGAGAACCAAAGTTTTCTGCTTTGGAATATTGTCTGCAAACAGCTTGATGAAGACATGGCCCAAGACGCCTATTAGTGGTCATACCTGCGCATGAGCATGCCATTGGCTCAGCAAGTCTGCAAAGAGGCCAGTATGAGTTTTTCAACAGCCTTGCGAGGCAAATACTGTTCTAATTCTGATCTTATAGATGGTGAAACCAGGCCTGGTGCTCTCTTTTCTGCTGTAATGCTTGTCTGTAGGGATGGGCGAGTTCTGACAGGGAACAAGGGGGCCCTGAACCCTCAGTAGAAGAAGTGCCATGTGTTGTGTGTTTTGTGCTCCTGGCCAACACCCTCTGCTCTTGCCTTTTCTCCCTCTCCTGGTTGACTCAGCACTGGCTCCAGCTGGTCCTCAGAAAAAAAGAGGATCACCTGTCTTGAAACAGGAAGGAGGAAGCCACACCTCTCCTCCACTTCTCGGGAGCCAAAAAAAAAGTAGGCTCAACTCCCTCAGTGAACAGAGAATCCATGTTAAAACCACAATGAGACACCTGCACGTGTATCAGGATAGATAATGTGAAATGGATGGACAATATAGAGGGTTGGTGAGGATCTGAACAACTAGAACCCTCGAGCATTGCTGGTGGGGGTGTAAGCTAGTACCACCACTCAGGATAACCATTTATCCATGACTGGGGCAAAACATACACCTGCCCTATGACCCAGCAAATTACGCTTGTACACGACTATTTGTAGCGGCACTACTCATGGCAGCCCAAACAGGAAACTAACCCAAATGCCCATCAACAGGTATCCAATGGATAAATAGTCATGCAATGAGATACTACACAGCTTTTAAAGGAATGGACCGCTGATACACACATGATACACACAATCTGAGAAGCCTGGCACAAACAGGTATATGCTGTAGGTTTCCATTTCGATGAAGTTCAAAAATAGGCAAAACTGGTCTAGGGTGATGGTGGTTAGAGTAATGGCGATCTTGGGGACAACACGCAGAAGTCTGGGGCTAAAAATGGATCTGGTGGTGGTTTACATGGGCATATGCATAAAAATGTGACTTAAACACAGGATTTGTTCTAATATTACTGAATATAAGTTAAACCTTGGGTTTAAAAATATATAGAAAAACTGGAATATATATATCTATTGATACATATATGTTTATATATATATATATATACATATATATATATGTGAACTGGGCCACCCAGGAATTAAGCTGATTCGTGGGAGTCCTGAGCCCCAGCTCTGTGCAAACCCTCTCCCTGCCCTGTGATCTTCCCAGACTCTACGTGATGGTGGTCTAGACCCGTACGGCTGGGCCTGAAGGATGGCAAAACGGGATCCCTGTGTTCCTGCTCTTTGTCCTTCTGTCCTAATTAGACCCAGGACTAATATTTACCTTGTGGAATGCAAACAGAAAATGGGGGAGGGGATGGGAGCAGGGCTGGGCGAGGGGCAGCGTAGGACCGGCAGCCACTCCAGGCCTGGCCCAGGACAGGTAGGCAGGAGGAGAGGGAGGGGCCCTGCCGAGGAGACCCGAGGATTTGGGCTGGTCCCCGTTCTGGGGCCAGAAGCAGGTCCAAGGAGGTGCAAGAAAATAGACCAGAGGCTCAAAGGCCATGGGCCTGGCTCCTCCCCCTGAGCAGCCACTACACGTGGACACACCTCCCCAGCTCCCAGGTGGGAAAGTGGTTGCAAGGCAGCTCTCCTCTGGCCGCACCCTGGTCTCAGCTTTCTCAGATCTGTGTGTTGTGATTACATCAACCTCCCCACTGGTTTATATCCATATACCTACTGATTGTTAAGCACTTACTACATTTCACGGGCATTACATTCAAAATCTCCTTTAGTCCTCACAACAAGGTACTGTTCCCATTGTACAGATGAAGAAACTGAGGCTCACAGAGATCAAAGCAATCATCACCATGTGTTAGGACTGGAAGCAGCCTCAGGAAGATCTTGTGACCCCACTAGCCCAAGTTGGCCCATATCTCAGGAGGGAGGGGCTGGACGATGGTGGTTACTTACACTGGCCTTTCCTTTGTGACTTCCTCCCAGACCATCTGTCCCTGGTCCCAAGAGGACCTGTCTTCCTGGATGGCGGGGTGGACTATCTATACACTAGTCCCATGGCCCTGACCTGCTGACCTCTCCCTCTTGGCTGATTTCTTCATGTTAGTTCAACATTAACCCAGAGTGGTCAGGACAAGTCCTCAGAGTCCCAGGAGCTGACACACTATGGCGCACATCCGAGGCCTCTGGGTACCTGGCTGCCTGGCCCTAGCTGTCCTGTGTAGCCTTGTGCCCAGCCAGCATGGTAAGAGGGGCTTGGAGGCTGGGACAGGCTAACAGCCTGGGATATGGGCCCACGGGCCAGGGCCTCCCGGCTGGACCGAGAACAACAGGGCTGACGCCCGGGTGGGTCTCAGCCTACAGCATACAGCTTAGGGAAGGAGTCGGGCGCTCAGGTCTGGATGCACTGCATCTCTCCTGCCATATGGGGAGTGGGCTCTCCAGTGCATGGAGGGGAGCGAGTGGGCTACCGACGGCAGCCTTCTGGGTCCTGCCACCATCCCAGACGTCCCCTTTCAGAAGTCAGGAGGGCAGGCTAGGCTTGCTTCCGGCCCCCACGGTGGCCAAGACCGCCTGGCTCACGGAGTCCACTGTCCCACGCCCCTCCTACCGCAGTGTTCCTGGCCCCTCAGCAAGCGCTCTTGCTGCTCCAGCGGGTCCGACGCGCCAACAGTGGCTTTCTGGAGGAGTTGCGCAAGGGGAACCTGGAGCGGGAGTGTGTGGAGGAGCAGTGCAGCTATGAGGAGGCCTTTGAGGCCCTGGAATCTTCCATCGCCACGGTGAGGGCTGGGCTGCACACTGGGTCGGGGTTGGGGAGGGGTGGGCGAGGTCCCCCGAGGTGGGCCCCGCAAGGGATGTCCCAGCTTCAGCTGTCAGTAACTTAATGTCCTCTTGGGCCTCATTTCACTGGGCTGCCAAGATGAGTGACCTCAGCCCTTCTTGGAGGCCCAGACACCTGGGCTATGTCAAGGTCTGGCAGCCTAGTGAGGCTCCAGGTCATCGGGGGCTCCTCCATCTTCTGATGTCTGTCTGCACTGGGGTCTCTGGAGGCCCCGGCCCTCATGGCTTCAGCCCTGCTGCTACTGTGGGGTGTGGGACTCTGGTGAGGCCTCAGGGTTCCAAGAGCTCTGTGCAGCCTTTCCCTTCCTCAGGGTTTTGCCTGGGCCCCATGCCCCCGTTCTTCAATCTAGCCCACCTATGGGAACCCTTTTGGTCTTGGTTGGCAGAAGGCTCCCCTCTCCTCAAATACTCCTCTCCTCAGTGGGTTTGGGCTTCTGGAAACAAAAGTAAGAACCTACCACAAACCTCCCTAGAGCCTGCTCCCTGCATGACCAGGGTAAAGGAAAGAGGAAAGTATGAGGGGAAAATATAAAGTCTACTGAAAAACAAAATGAAATGAAACAGGATATGCCACACCCTCATGCTGGCTCTTATTTTTCAGGAAGTATTCTGGACCAAGTACACAGGTGAGCACTAGGAAGGGTTTGCTCCTGGAACGGAGTCCTGGGGACCCCAATGAGAGAATGTTCTACTCTGGAGAATCTTCTGGTCCATCCAGCCATCCATCCCTCCACCCATGCCTCTTTCCCTCCTTCCTCCCTTCCTCCCTTCCTCCCTCCCTTCCTTCCTTCCTTCCTTCCTTCCTTCCTTCCTTCCTTCCTTCTTCCTTCGATCTATCTGTCCATCTCTGTGTCTCTGCACTTTGTCCCCCCCACCCTCTACTTGAGCCCCTCCTGTCCCTACCCCAATCCCAAAAGTGTTTCTGGGTCTTTTCCAGCTTGTGAGTCGGTGAGGAAACCTCGAGAAAAGCTCACTGAATGTCTGGAAGGTGAGGAGCCGATGCAGGGGTGGGGGGCAGGGTGTGAGCAGACAGCCTGGGAGAAGAGCAGAGTGGGGTGGGTTAGGAGTTGTGGCCTAGCATCTGACCTTGCCGTTCTGTTCCTGCGGTCAAGGATGCCTTTGCACCTGACTCTGTGCCCGGCAGTGAGGAAGAGGATTCATGTTGGAGGAACAAATGCATGAATGGATGAGGAATTCAGATTTAAGGCCTCATTCTCATGCGAGTCCCCGCCAGTCAGTCTTCCCCGTGTTCCCAGGGCAGAACCCTGATGAGGTCACATTCATTCTTCAGAACCTTGGGTGGCTCCCCAGTGCCTCCAGAATAAAGCACAGGATTCTTAGCCTGGAAAACTTGGCAGGTTCTGGCCTCAACCTTCCCTTCTGGCCTCATCTACCATTGCACCAAAACATGGGCCCAGACGCCCAGCTACTCTGACAGCAAGCGCTTCTCTGAACATGCCAACATGTGTCTGCCTCCTGGCCTTTGCTTTCATTGTCATCTTCCCCTGGAACAACTATACCATTTCCTGCAAACTTTCCTGTCCTTCAAGGACTAGTTCAAATGCCATCACCTTGCAGAGCCTGCGATGAGCCTCCACCCACCTCCCCAGTCTTCTGAATACACCTTTAAGATAACAATAGACCCCAGCTCTTAACAGTAACTCTTTAACCACTTTTTAACATACTTTTGTTTGTTTTTTTTTTCCCATACTTTTATTTGTTAAATAACTTATTCAACAGGAATTTTACTAAACCCCTGCTATGTACCAGGCACTGTGTCATGTGCTGGGGATTCTAAGAGAATGAAGGAGCTCCCAATCTCACAGGGAAACAAAAATACAAAATATCAGTGTGATCGCTGGAAAAGCTCTGTTCCAGGTGCCAAGACAATGCCAGGAGAAGGAGCATTTAGTTTGCTGGCAGGATCAGGGACAACCCCCCCGAAGAAGCAGAGTTCCACCTGGATTTGTGGGATGCACTGATGAGCAAACAGAAGAGCACGCCCAGGCAGAGGAAACAGCTTGTGCAAAGGCCCTGACACGAGGATCTCTGATAACAGGACGGGTAGACCAGGGCCAGATTAGAAGGACCGTGTTCGCTTTGTCATCCTACTGGCCATGAGGAGCCACCAACTATAAACTCCATGCGGGCAGGGACCTACCTTGACTATGTCTTATTCTTCCCTATGTCCTTAGTGCCTGGCACAGTGTCTGACACACGGTTGTCACATGGGTGGTGGGCACTCAGTGAATTTTGGTGAGTGCTGTGAGAGAGATCGGTGAATGGCTGGGTACAGAGGAGGTAGCTGAGGAAATGTGGGTTAAGCGTCATGGAGCAGCGGTAGCTTGGAGGAGGTGGACAGACAGGGCTTTGCTAAGTGAGAGAGGGGCAGGGTCTCAGGGTAAGAGACCGGGGCTGGGGTCTCTGCAGGTAGCTGCGCTGAAGGTCTGGGCATGAACTACCGAGGGAACGTGAACTTCACCCGGTCAGGCATCGAGTGCCAGCTCTGGAGGAGTCGCTACCCACACAAGCCTGAGTGAGTGATGGGCTGTCGGCCAGTGGGCTGAGAATATGGGCTGGCAGACACTGGACAGGGGGTATGGCCTCTGCTGAGCAATTTCCTATTCCAGAATCAACTCTACCACCCACCCTGGGGCCGACCTGCAGGAGAATTTCTGCCGTAACCCGGATGGCAGCACCACTGGGCCCTGGTGCTATACTACAGACCCCACTGTGCGGAAGGAGGAGTGCAGCATCCCTGTGTGCGGTGAGCTGGGGAGGGCTGGGCAGCCCATGGCCAAGGCTCAGGGGTCTCCATGGGGCCTGATCCTGGCTACCTTCAGGCATGGGTTAGTCATTTACAACATATTTGGGCCTGTGGGTCAGTGAAGGCAGGAGACCAGAGATAGCTGGAATCCCCCTGCCTTCCCAGGCTTTGCTTCCTTGTGACCCAGGCTGTGGCTCCTTCCAAATATGCTCTCCTTCCTGCTCGAGGCCCTCTTCCCTCCAGGAAGCCCTTCCTAACTATTTCAGTCGACGTGCCCCTTTCTGAGCACCACAGAGCAAACCTCATATGGCCCGGCCCGGCGTGATGCTGTCATTATTCTTTTGCATGGTGTGTCAGTGAGCTCTGGCCACAATAATGCTGCAATCCCCACAAAATCACAAACAGCCACAAAAGCTCAGGGGATACACCAATAAGCATTTCTTTCTTGTGTCTGAGGGTTGGCTTGGGCGGCTGAGCTGATGTCAGCTGTGCTCGCCTGTGTCTGCGGTGGCCACTGCTGTAGGCTGGGCTTGGCTGCTGGTTCCGCTTCCAGCGACGGCTCCAGCTGAGCTTGGCTCCCTGTGTGGGTTGGGTCCTGGTCTGCTCCACATTACTCATCCTGGGGCTGAGGCTGAAAGGCACCATCTCCTTTTGGCAGAGGCAAAAAACTATTCAGAGACACACAGTGTGTCTCAAGGCCTGGGCTCAGAACTGGTAGATCCGTTCTGCCCACGTTCCACTGGCCAGGGCGAGCCACATGCTCAAGACCAAAGCCAGCAGGCGGAGTACACCTTTGCCTATACAACCATGGGGCAGAGGAGGTGGATCAAGGAGGGGGTACTAAAGAATTAGTACCAGCAATCAATCTACCAAATATGGGTTGGTGTTCTTTGTCCCCCATGCATCCCTCTTGGACATAATACTTGGTCCTGGGACTGGTCTTATAGCAAGTGACCAGTCAGGATAACAGAAGCAGTTACCATATACCAAGCCTGCCCACCCCCACACTGGGCAGGCCTGCTGAAATTGACTTTCTGTGCATGTAGCCATCCTCAGTCATCCCAGCTACTTCTCCTGCTGTGCCCCTATAAAAATAGACTCCTTCTGTAAAAACTCCAGGCAGTCACTACCAATAGATTACAGATAGCCCAGGAGGTGAAACCGAGTTGCTATCTCTGCCTCATGATGCACCAGACACAGCGTGTATTTTGTTTAAATCTCTCAACCCTGCAAGAATGGTATCAGTCACCCCTTTTATAGGCAAGCAAAGTGAGGTTCAGAGAGGTCAAGTTACCTGAGGTCACATAGGAAGAAGGTGGCAAGGCAGGGAGTCAAACCCTGACCCCCTGGCCGCTGGTGGTCCCACCCCACCCACTCTGCTCCCCTGCCTCCCCACCCACCAGGCGGGGGGGGCGTCACTGTGCAGCTGACCCCACGAACCAGCGGCTCCACGGTGAATCTGTCACCTCCATCGGAGCAATGCCTCCCTGAGCGTGGCCGGTACTACCAGGGTCGCCAGGCGGTGACCGCACATGGGTCCCCCTGCCTGGCCTGGGCCAGCAGTCAGGCCAAGGCCCTGAGCAAGGACCAGGACTTCAACCCTGAGGTGCCGCTGGTGGAGAACTTCTGCCGCAACCCGGACGGGGACGAGGAGGGCGCGTGGTGTTATGTGTCGGAGGACCCCGGCGGCTTCGAGTACTGCGACCTGGACTACTGCGGTGAGGCGGGGCAGGGGCCTGAGGCTGGGGACGGGGCCCGGGGGCGGGGCTGCCCCGCCGCGGGGGGCGCGGTCCGCTGCAGCCGGGTCTCCCGGCAGCCGGGCTGGCCTGGCCCCACGCGCAGCTGAACCGGCACAGGCCCGACGCCGAGTTCCCGAGGCCGCCTGCGCTGCGCTCTCACCCAGGGGCCTCCAGGGCCTCCCGGGGTGCTTGGGGGCGGGGAGGGGGGGGCGCTGCGCGCGGGCTGGCTCGGCCCGGCCCCAGCCGTGCCTGCTCCCTGCAGAGGAGCCGGTGGAGGAGGTGGGCGACGGGCTGGCCGAGGACCCGGACGCGCCCATCGAGGGACGCACCGGCGAAGAGGAGTTCCAACCCTTCTTCAACGAGAAGACCTTTGGCGCCGGGGAGGCAGGTGAGGCGGCGGGGGCGGCGGGGGGCGCGGGGCGCGGGGTACAGCTCGGCCCCTCACACCCGGCTTGCTGTGCAGACTGTGGGCTGCGGCCTCTGTTCGAGAAGAGGTCGGTGAAGGACAAAACAGAACACGAGCTTCTGGATTCCTACATCGACGGGCGCATCGTGGACGGTTGGGACGCGGAGATTGGCCTCGCGCCCTGGTGCGTCGTGGGGGCGGCCCCCGGGGTCCCCTGCCAGGGCCGCCCTTCCCTCACAGGCCTGGGCTTCCCAGATGGTGATAGGTGGCATCCCTCTGAGATTAGGGGTGTTGCTTCTCGCATGCAGAAGGCGAAGCTGAGGCCCAGAGAGCTTAAGGGGTCTGACCCCAGAGCTATGCCAGGCTGTGCAAATTCTGGACCTGCAGAAGCTGGGGAGGGTTACAGAAAGCAGGAGGCAGCCCCTCAGTGTCATGTGGAGGCCCCAGTCGGCCAGGGCAACCAGGTCAAGCTGGGGTCTGGGCCCAGCAGGCACCTCTGTCCTGAGCTTAAACCTGGGACTTTCTACTTTAGGGCAGGTGGAGGGGCAGTCAGCCCCCAGCTCCTCATGCTTCCCACTCTCTCTCCCAGGCAGGTGATGCTATTCCGGAAGAGTCCCCAGGAGCTGCTGTGTGGGGCCAGCCTCATCAGTGACCGCTGGGTCCTCACGGCTGCCCACTGTCTCCTGTACCCACCTTGGGACAAGAACTTCACCGAGAATGACCTTCTGGTGCGCATTGGCAAGCACTCCCGCACCAGGTACGGACCGGGGTCTGTGGATGTCTGGCAGGGGTCAGAGTCCTCCAGAGTGACTGGGAGGGGCTCTGGTGGCTCTGGGGGGATATGTCTATACATGCCCCACAGTAGAAAACCCAGCAGTCTCTGCTGGAAAGGCCATTTGGCCACGTCTGGACTGAGGCTTGGAGCCGGGGAAAGAGAAACTGAGACTTCGCAGAGAGTGAAATCCTGGCCCACCCCTAGCTCCTTTGCAGGCACCAGCACGCGGCCAGGTGTGAGCTGTGAAGGGAGGCAGTTTGGACCAGGGCTCCGGCCTGCGTTCCTCCCCCACCCGCCGGGGCTCTCTGACTCCGAAGCCTGGAACAGCTTTAGGCCTGCAGACGCTGTCAGGGCAGGAGGCAGCCCTCTCCCCTCAAGGGTGGCCCAAGGGTCACCCCAATTCCTGGACCCGGAGGGCAGGCAGGAACTGGCTGCCCTTCACCAGGCGGCTTACAGCTTCCCCCGTCTTCCTGTTTGCACAGGTATGAGCGGAGCATCGAGAAGATCTCCATGCTGGAAAAGATCTACATCCACCCCAGGTACAACTGGAGGGAGAACTTGGACCGGGACATAGCTTTGCTGAGGCTCAAGAAGCCCATCACCTTCAGCAACTACATCCACCCCGTGTGCCTGCCTGACAAGGAAACCGCAATCAGGTCGGTGCTGGGAGGGTGGGTGTGGGGGGGGGCGGTAATGGCCCTGGGCTGGGTTCTGGGTTCTGGGCCCGACAGACACTCCCCTTTCCAGGCCTGGGGGTGGGGGTGGGGTGGGGTGGGGAGGCTTGGAGTGAACCCAGAAGTTCTTTCTGCGCCACTGTTTGAGATTCTGGTCTCCAAGGGACAGTGTTGGGGCGGGGTGTTGGTGGGACTTCTGGAGGCGTCGGTGCTCATGAAGTCCTTCTTCCTTCCCCCCCAAAGACTGCTCCGCGCCGGATACAAAGGGCGGGTGACTGGCTGGGGCAACTTGAGGGAGATGTGGATGTCCAGCGTTGCCGAGGTGCAGCCCAACGTCCTGCAGGTGGTGAACCTGCCCATTGTGGAGCGGCCGGTGTGCAAGGCCTCCACTCGGATCCGCATCACCGACAACATGTTTTGTGCTGGCAAGTGCCCCGGGCGTGTCTGGGTCTTGGCCAGGGTGGGGGGAGGGAGGGAGGATTGAGACACGTGAAGGGTGCAAACCCGTTCAAGTCCTGGATCTGGTCACTTATAAGCCAAATGGCTTTGGGCAAAGTTGTATAACCTCTTGGAGGCTCAGTTTCTTCCTCTCTAAAATGGAGATGCAACTCTCTGTTCCATGAGGTTGGGTGAGGGCTAAATGAGATAGTATGTATATAGTAAGGTGCTAGGCATGGTGCTAGTCACTGGTTAAGTGGTTGATCTGTGTGAGTCCAGATAGCAGCATGAGGCCATGGGTGGGGGAAAAGCCTTGTTACTTGTCATTCAGCAAATATTTATTGAATGCCTTTTGTGATAAGTATTTACCACAAGGACCCAAACACAATGCCTGTGTCCTCACAGAACTTCCTTCCTAGGAGGGAATGTCCATAAACAGATGTAGAATGTAGCAGAAAGAAAAATGAAGCAGAGTAAGGGGGAGAGAGAGAGATGGGGACAGGGCAGTCTAAATAGAGTGGTTGGACAAGGTTAGAGAAGGTCTCTCTGAGAAGATACTAGAAGTGAAGAAGTGAGCTAGTCTAGGACAAGTGCACTCTGGGGTGAGGGAGAGCAGATGCAAAGGCCCTGGGGTGGGTGCCTGCTTAGGGTGTCTGAGGAACAGCAGTGTGGCTGGAGTGCAGTAAACACAGGCAGGGCAGCAGTAGAGGAGAGGGAGGCAGGCTAGGCAGAAGATAGGCAGTTCTTTTAGGGTCTTGAGGGACTCTGGTTTTTATTTTAAAATTTATTTATTTATTTATTTATTTATTTATTTATTTATTTGACAGAGAGGCAGAGAGCCCAGGTAGGCAGAGGGGCAGGCAGAGGGAAAGGGAGAGGCAGGCTTTCTGCTGAGCAGGGAGCCCGATGTGGGGCTCAATCCCAGGACCCTGGGATCATGACCTGAGCCGAAGGCAGTCGCTTAACCGACTGAGCCACCCAGGCGCCCCTCTGGTTTTTACTGAGATAGGGAATTTGGGAGGGTTGCAGGGGGGAGGTGAATAGATGGTCTAAATTAAAAATTTTTAGTATGGGGCTCCTGGCTGGCTCAGTTGGTGGAACATGGTACTCTTGATCTTAGGGTCATGAGTTCAAGCCCCATGTTGGGCGTAGAGCTTACTTAGAAAAATTTTTCTTAGTGTGATTTCAGACTCACAGAAAAGTTGCAAAAATAATATAAAGAATTCCTGTATACTGTCATCCAGATTCTGTCCCTGCACTTTGTGTGTGTCAATACACACATAGACACATGCTGTTTGAGAGTGAATTGTACATATGCCTTGTTACCCACATACATGAGTCTATCCAGATAAGAATGTTCTTACATAGCAAGTGCAGTTGTTAAAATCAAGAAGTTAATGATACAATACCGTTATTTAATCTGTAGACCTATTCCAGTGTTTTCCAGTTGTCCTACTTATTAATGTCTTCTGTAGCAAAGGGGAAAAAAGTGTTCTCATCTGGATCCAGTCCAGGATCACACATTGCCTGTAGTCGTCAGTCCTTCTTCTTTATCTTCCATGACTTTGACAGGTTTCATAAGTGCAGCCCGGTGAGCCTGTCACTTGGCCCTGTTTGGTTTGTCTAAGGTTTTGGTTTCCTTGTGATCAGATTTAGGCCAAGTGAGGTTGTGTCCTTTTAAGGGAAGGCCCATGATGTCCATTTGTCCTTATGTCTCACCATAACTGGGGAGATTAACTCTGACCTCTTGGTTAAGGTGGTGTCTGCATCTGGTGGTTTTCTCGCTGTGAGATTTTGTTTGTAAGTGTCTTGTGGGGAGCAGCTTTGACCCTCTGCATCGGTTTCCCATCAAACCGTTCTCCCAGCTCCGGGGGCTGCCAAATGGTGATTTTCTAATTCTGTCATTCCTTCTATGTTTATTATGGTTTCATTGGAAGGAAGACCTCTCCTTTCATTCTATCAGTGTGGACTCACGGGTCTTTATTCTAAGAGTTATAATCTGCTACTATCATCATTTATTTTGATTTTCAATTATCCAGGTTTGGCCAGTGGGAGTCCTCTCAGCCTGGCCTCTGTGACTTGATGTCCCTGTTGTTCCCTGAGTACCTTCTTACATTGGCACAGCAAGATGTTCTCCGATTCCCTGCTAGTGGAGAATGGTGTTTAGAAACCACAATCTGGGTGCTACGTGTGCACATTGCTACTGGGGTGTTACTGCTTCTGCGTCCTCTCAGCAGACAGATCTAGAAAATATGTGTACGATGCATACAGTGACATCTAGATCGATTTTTCTTTGTCATTTATCAGTTTCTGTATCTGAAACCTCCCACTGCAATCCAGTAGGATTAATTTTAGCTTCTCCTTTTCCATATTTGTAACTCTCTATTGACAGTGAGAAACTGGACTCCTGTTACTCATCATCTAGAAACTTACTGGATCGTTACTAGAATACATTGTTTCAGAATCACCCATCCATCTCACTGTGAGAAACAATCCTACTCACTGGTGTTCAGCATTTCTTCACAGAGTTTCTGTCTTTAACGTCTGTACATAGTTGAAATGCTGTGTTCAAAAGGAACTTGGGTTAGTTCCCCCCCACCTTCGCTGTGTTATTTATTTAAAATACAGTTAGGCTAAGTTGTTTCTGATTGTATTCAATTTGGGGTCCCCCTCCCATCTTTGTTGTTTTTATTTCTTTTTGGAGTATTAACATGGGTCTAAAACTCAGACCCTGTAAAAGAGGTATACTTGGAGAACTGACACTCTCTTTTTCCTTTCTATGCTTTTGCTACCCCCCATCCTTTCTACTCCATTTCCATCTGGGCTCTACAGTCAACCAGTCTCAGTAGTTTGTGGGTTTTTTTTTTCTTCCTGTATATCCTTTTGCACAAATGAGCTTACACACTTATATATTTTACCCCCCCTTTTTTTTTAAGATTTTTATTTATTTATTTGACAGAGAGAGAGACACAGCAAGAGAGGGAACACAAGCAGGGGGAGTGGGAGAGGGAGAAGCAGGACTCCCGCTGAGCAGGGACCCCGAGGCGGGGCTTGATCCCGGGACCCCAGGATCATGACCTGAGCCGAAGGCAGACGCTTAACGACTGAGCCACCCAGGCACCCCTTATTTATCTATTTTTAAAGATTTTATTTTTAAGTAATCTCTACATCTAGCGTGGGGCTCGAACTCACAATCCCAAGATCGAGTTGCATGCTCCACCGACTGAGCCAGCCAGGTGTCCCCCTGTTTAGGTCATTTATATCCTTATTTTTTTTTCAGTTCACTTGATCTGTCTTATACAGAGTGTGTTAAATTCTGCTAATGTATTTCTGTCTCCTTGAATTGCTTTATAAATGTGGTTGCTGTGCTGTTTAGTGCAGATATTCATAACTGTTATTTATTCGTTGTGAATTGTGGCTTTTAGCGTTAGAAGTATACTTCAAATTATTTTCAATTTCAGGATCACCATCTCTGTTCTGTTTTTTGTTTTCGTTTTTTTTTTTTTAAGATTTTATTTATTTGACAGAGAGAGACACAATGAGAGAGGGAACACAAGCAGGGGGAGTGGGAGAGGGAGGAGCAGGCTTCCCGGGGAGCAGGGAGCCCGATGTGGGGCTCAATCCCAGGACCCTGGGATCATGACCTGAGCCGAAGGCAGACGCCCAATGACTGAGCCACCCAGGCACACAGTTTTTTGTTCTCATTAACCTGATATACCTTTGTCCATCCCGTTACTTTGAGCCTCTATGAATCACTTTGTTATGTCTAGCATAGTTGGGTCTTTTTGTGAGGCAAACTAAAAGTCTTTTTCTCTTTTAATAGGTGAGTTAATCCCATTCATATTTATTGATATGATTGAATTAATATTCATATTATTTTGTAATTATTACATGTATTATGTTTCATTTGCTCTGTTTTTTCCCTATGCGATCTTTTGTGTTTTTAAATTTATATATTTAGGAAAGTTCGCATTTTTGTTCTAATGATTATCTTTGGGCTTCTACCTTTTTGAAATGCCCTTAGTTCCTTTTATATATATGACCTTTTAATTGTTAACTCCCACCTATTGGCTACACAGCAGTGAGGGAGTTTACTTTCCTCTTTCAAGATCTTCTTTGATATTTTTAGATGCATTTTTTTCTACTTGTCAGAACAGTTAATCAGTCCTTTTGCTGAAGCTTTCATCTCTTGGATGAAGCTTGCCATTTAGTAGATGCTTCAACAACAGTTATGGGTGTAGAATTTCCTGTTTTTATGTGTTTACAGTTATTTTTCTGTTGTCTTGACACCTTAAGCTCTGCTTGACTGCATATAAAATCCATGGCTTACATTTCCTTCAATTTTTTAAAAAAAATGGCTTTTTTGTTACTTTGCGGTTTTTGAAAAATCAGATGCTGGTGTAATTCTTTGGAACTTGTATTTGGTCTCTTTTGCTTGGAGGCCTTGAAGGCTTTTTCCTTCATCTTTGAAGTTTTATTGGGCTCTGTCTCATAGTGGAGTGTTTCAGGTCAGTTTTGTCAGCTACCTAGTGTGGCTCCTTTCAACATACACCTTCAAATCTTATTTCTGTGACGTTTTCTTGGATTATGTCATAAATATTAGTTTTGTTCCATGGTTTTATTTTTCTTTTTGAGAGCTTCAGATTTCTTCTTTGGTCTGAATTCCATTTCAATCCCTTTCTGCTTTGCATTTCTTCCTATTGTTTTGTCCATTTATTTTTAATTTTTGGATTTCTGATTCAAGGCGTTTTGTTACATCATACAAATCGGCTTGAGGAAATTTAATTCAGTTATAGGTTTCTTCTGTTTCATGGTTGTGTTTTGGGGGAGAATTTTTGTTAGCTGTTTTTTAGTCTTATTTTTTTGTTTTCCTATAGTATCTTGGTATGGATCTATTTAGTTGTCATTTTGTAGATTTGGGGTCATTTACAAGATTCCAATTCAACTGCACCCACTTCTTTTTTCTAGTAGATATGTACAGTCTCACCGCCACATAAGTGTTACTATTAGATGCACAATATACTGATTTGAAGTTTGGGTGTTCTCTGTATTCCAGTGCTGATGGTGGCGGGGTGGGCGTGTAGCTTTTGTTGTTCTTCATGTTGTTCCTTACTGTTTATGGAGGGTATGTGGGGAGATTCTGGTTAAAGGCAACCACCGTTATCCTCAAGCCACCTGTGGGTCTAACGTATTTTTAAGTCCTTCTGCCTGTTGGTTGCGAATGGATTGTACGTAGGGGGAAGTAGAATTTGGGGACAGTAGTTCAGGGGAGGGCTACACGTGATGTGACGAGGGGTGGAAGCGGTGACAAGCGGCTGGGCTGGGATGCACGTTGAAGATGGCGCTGAGAGCTGTGCTAAAGGACTGCATGGGCGGGGGGTAAGAAGATGGGGAGTGAAAGAGGGCCACAGAGGGTCAAGTGGACACTCGCCACCTAGGTCTCTTCAAGGGGAGTGGTGGGAGGTGAGCTGTGCGGTCTAAGCACTGCTGTTCTCTCCCCAGGCTTCAAGCCCAGTGAAAGGAAACGAGGAGATGCCTGTGAAGGCGACAGTGGGGGGCCCTTTGTCATGAAGGTAAGCATTGCTAAAGGCTAGGAGGGTGGGTAGGCCTTCTGGGGGTTGGGGGTGAGTTAGGAGGGACTGTTTTCAGAAATAGTTGCCTGACAGGGTGCTGCTGCCATGCCTTGGACTCACTCTCTTGGAAACCCCATGTTTCTTCCTCAGAGCCCCTTTAACAACCGCTGGTATCAAATGGGCATCGTGTCATGGGGTGAAGGCTGTGACAGGGATGGAAAATATGGCTTCTACACACACGTGTTCCGCCTGAAGAAGTGGATACAGAAGGTCATTGATCAGTCTGGAAGTTAGCGGGCTGCTCACATTCTAGGCTCCTCACTGCAAAATCACAGAAACCAATCCAGCAGAATTATTTTTGTGGTTTGTTCTTAAAACTATATAGTTCTCAATAAAAGTGCCGGTCAACAAGCCTCCATGCTTCCGGTGTGTTCGTGGGCAGCTCAGAGCCAGCGCGACTGGAGAACAGGACTTAGCGAGCCCACCACTCCTAGAACAGGGGGGCAGGTGATGGGGAGGTGGTGGTCTGAGGGGCTGAGCACTGAAAATGCTCCACACTCGGGGCTTCATGGGTTCCCTCATGTAATGCTCATAAGAGGTAGGTCAGGAGATGGACTAGAAGTATCTTGTCCAAGGTCACACAGCTGAAGAAGGGTTAAAGTTGGACTTGAAACAGAAGATACTGAAGCCTGGGCTTTCAGTCGCTCTGCTGTTGGGGCCGTAAGGTGCTCGTCCCAGGACCAGAGATGAGGCAGAGGGAACAGACCAGAGCAAGGAGGGGTAAGTAGGTACATCTATCTCTTTACCTCTGACTTTCCGAGTTAAGTCCCTATATCCTTCCACATACCATTAAAGTGACATCAGATTTAATGCCCCCCAAAGTCTCAGTATTTTAAGTGCCTTCATCTGGGAGTATTGTGGGATAGGGCGGTTAGGAGCATGGGCCCCAGTGTCAGACGGCCTGGCTTCCTAGTCTGGCGACACCCTTACAAGGGAGAACCACGATTGACCTCCACGAGTCGGTTTCCTTACGTAGAAGTATGAGGCCATTCCTTACCTAATCCGGCCGTGAGGATGAGATGAGGTAATTTGCAGCGTGTACTTAGCAGGAAGCCCAGGACCCAGTATGCGGTCCCCGGGTCACTGCCGCTTTCATTCCCCTGCTGCCTGGCATGAGGTCCCTCTGCCACTCCCCTCCCGTGGCCCCTACCAGGAGCACGTGGGTGCCGTGCCTGCTTCCTGGACTTTCTAGTCCCATACGAGTTACAGGCTCCAGCAACTGGCTTCTCTAAGAAATGGGACCTAAAGCTGCCCTGTCGCTGCACGTTCTTCGAGGTCACTGCTGGCAGAAGTCAGCGGTCCGGGCTGGAGCTCTCTGACACATGCCCTTCTGCGGGGCGCCACCAACTTCCCAGCTGCCCCTTCCGCCGGGGCATTTGTGACTCGGGAGCTGGGCACCACAGCCCGCAACCAGTGCCACGCTGACTTCCAACTGGTGTGGCCTGCGGATTGCTGGATGATTCTTGGCAGGACCGTGGCCAAGTCTCGTGCCTGAGCCCAGGGGCGAGGCGGGGGAAGAGCGTGGCTGCCACCACCTTACTGCACTTGGCCGCGAATCTTCGACGATCTTTAAACTTCATGGTGTGAAGTGGGAAGGGACCGAAGGTAGGCACTTTTACTCACTTCCCTCCCCTTTGTCTTCCCTTCCCATTTTTCAGTACATCAAGGAACAGAGAATTGGGACCGAGTTCCTGGCCCTCGTTGTTTGGTTCTGGTCGACCAGGAAGCAGGGTAAAAACTGGGAGTTCCGTGAGTTTGCAGGACCTTGGCAGCCCAGAGCTTTCACCAGAGCGGGGAAGGGATTAAGAATTAGAATATCCCAACTCTGCTTTTGAAACCAGGGTTCACATTTTCAAGACTCCCTCCAACATAGCTGTAAGACCCAAGCACAGCCACTCTTTTCCAAATGCTTCATCCCAGCCCAGCAGCGACCGAACTCTCCGTCTGCGTCCAGGGAATGCCTACTCCCCCGACCCCACTGCAGGGGCGAGAGGGAAGTGTGATTTCAGGCGGCACAGGGCCCACCTGAAAAGCTCGACTAGAATCAACAGAGGATTCACTTTCCGTCAACCTTTTATTTCTTGAGCGCCAGCTGGGTAAAAGATCATCTAGAAGAATTTCTTGACCCTCCTGGCTGCCCAGGAAGTTGCCCATCTGAATCCAGAGCCTCTCAGTACTAATGAGTTTTTCTGACCGTGGAGGGAGACCCTGGCGAGTTTATTCTGGAGGCGACTCCTCTGTTCACTTTCCAGTCCTCACTCAGCCTGAACGGGAAGCAACTATGGGTCTAGACTCAGAGGGGCCCCGAAAAGCAGGCGGGAAGCTCCTTCGGTCAGAGGCCCCCGAGTCCAGTCCCTGTGCAGAGAGTACTGCAGCCCGGCCCGTCCTGGGCCCCAGCTCACTGCAAAGTGGCAGGAAGCCCGAGGGCTCCCTGGCACCACAGTGCTGATGGGAGGGAAGTCATAATCAAGACCTCAAGATGGGGAAGACAGGGACTGCTCTGTCCCCCCACCCCGGGAGCTGCTCCTGTTCCAGGGGAGAAGCATGAGTCTGTGTGCCCCGACGAGGCGTACTCCTCACGCGGTACCTTCTCCGCTTCCGCTGGCTGGGTGGCTAGCCGGTCCCAAGGATACGTGACAGCTGCCCAGGTATGGAGCATCTTGGGAGACCGTTCTAGTTAATGCAAACTTTATTTATAAAAGACTCTTAAATTAGTTGTATCATGCCATGCATTCATACAGAATACAGTGACCCTTCAGGGCTACGGGGAGAGGAGCTCACAAACTCAAAGGAGAACTATTAAAGAGTTTCTAATAGTGAAAAGCTAGGAAAGATTGGGACGACTTTACAAATGAGCAGTTAAAAATAAAAGACAAAGGCTGTGGAGACTAGTCGGAGCCGAGAGGAGGGCAGCTGTTGACAAGTCTGTGCACTAAACTACGACACGGACAGTCGGCTAGAGGCAGGGCGCCGGCGGAGAAGCAGTACGGACAGAGGCCCGCGTGGGGCCGCCTCCGCAGGTCCGAGCGCCGGGCCCGCCGAGCCCCTGCCGCGAGGGGGACGCCGAGTTTAGTGACCTAGAGCTGCGGGGCACGGGCCGGGGGCGGCTTCACTTGCGACTGCTCTTTATCCTCTCCAGTCTCTTTTTCAAGTCGTCAATGTTGGCTGTGGAGGACGAGGACGTGGTCACGGTTCCGGCAGAGTGAGTGTGGTTAGAATCCAGGTCCGAGTGCTGGTGCTGCTCCCGGGACTCCCGGAGCTGAGAGAGCTTGCTGTGCAGCATGTCGGTGGAAGAGGCGACCGGGGGGGCTGCTGGCTTGGAGAGCAGGGAGGTCAGCGGGGGCCGCTCGTCTTGCTGTGGAGAGAAGGAGACACAGCGGCGGAGCAGGTCAGGCCCCAGCTCGGGGAGAGCGGGCCGGCCTGGCCCTGCGCACACGGAAGGGAAGGAGCGCTACCTTTGTGTTGTCCAGACCACACCGCTGGCGGAGGATTTTGAGCCTTTCCAGGTAGACAGACGGTCCCACCTCCTCTCCGTTTGTGTTCCCTATGGAGGACACCGTGCTTGGGGGGGCGGGCATACACGTGACCTCCATCTGCGGGGAGACGCCTGGAGAGATGGGGAGAGGACACTCCAATGCACACACGTCCCACTTCCAGACCGCCCGGGCTCATCTGTCGCCACAGGGAACGATTTGGGGCTTGGATATCACCACTGTGAAGACTAAAAAAATCTACCAAAGTCCCATCTGGAGTTGGTGATAAAGGGTGCTCTGAATTATACTAGATAAGCTGAGCAAGAACTTCAAGAAACAACAGAGCAGAGCGTAAGCTGGGCTGTCCGCCCACATCCTGGGATCCGCAGAGGGTGGCAGCCTGTTATCCGGCCGCTGGCCTGGGCCATCCAAAAGCCTAGGCTGCTCCCGAGGCTATGGTGTCCAGCTGAAGAATGCCTGGACTTGAAATGCTGGCAACAATTAGACTAGGTCTGGACCAGGTGATACACAGGGGGAAGTGCTTATTCACACCAGGGAAGAGAACAAGGAGCTCAAGGCGACAGTGTATGCATGGGGAAGAGGCAGAAACGCAGGTGTCCAACACCCCAAAAGAGGGACAGGAATGGCGCATCTGTCACCCCCAGCATAGAGAACAATATTCTGGCGGGAGAGGGAAAAGCCAGAAAAATCTATCACAGTTCTTAACGTTCTGAGAAGGAACAATCACAAAATATAGGCATTTAAAATACCCAATTTGGTATCAAAGAAAACACATTATATAAGCCAAAAAGATGTGGTCTTGGGAAGAAAAACTCCCTTACGGTAAACCGCAAAGTAGCACCAAAGGTTACTGTATAGGAAAAAAGGAATCTTTAATGTAAACAATCGGATAATTTGCTGCCCGGGGGCCAGTGACTGAGGAAGGAGTGAGGGCCAGTGGGGAGGGCTGCTGTCTGAGCACTCCCCGCACGCAACCACTCCGGAATCAGTGGGATCACATGTGCGGGCTGCACATGTGCTGTGGATGTCACCAGAAGGGACTTGGGAAGTGAGAAAGGGGGCCCCACCTCGACCAAGCAAACCGTGGTATGTCCGCTTAGCACCTCTGACCCGCCATACGGTGTAGTATTTGGTAGGTTGTTCCGTGTCTGTGTCTGCCCTTGTGGATTTTAAATTCTAGCAGAGGTTTCTGTCTGCTGCCTGGCACGGGGGAGGCACTCAACAGGTCCTGCCGAATGACAGGAACGACAGCTCATCCATCCTAACGTCAGGCTGAAACATTACCCACCCCCCAGTGAAAACGCCAGTGTCTGCCAATTACTGTTTACAGGAGCTAGAGCCAAAGAGAAGACTCTGGCGGTGTCAGTTACAGAAAACAGCGGTCAGGAGCCTTATACCAAAAGAGAGACCCCGTTCACCGTGCAGAGTTGAGCACGCACATCTGTCCCACATTTACTTCTTTGTGAGTTCCCTGAAACTCCTACTCTTAAAATCTCGAATTTGTTTGCCTCTAAGACCGTGTTCCTTTGTGGTTTTCAGATTATAATCATGTTCCCTCTCACCATGTATCTTGCTGGGCTGAAGATTCAATTGTGTTCTTAAATTATTTTTGTTTTTAACACCTAAAATTATGCCTCTCCAAGACCTTAAGAGTCTTTCCCTTGAAGTGTGATGAGCAGAATGTCTACATATGGACGGCATGCTACATATGGACATACCATGTGCTTGATCAAAGGGTGGAGGGTAGGCTGCAAATTTTAAGAAAGGTCTCACTGAGACAGTGGCGTCTGAACAAAGATCTGAAGGAAGAGAAAGCGCTAGTTACAAGGCTATCTTGGCCAAGAGCAATCTACATGTAA